GTATCTGCAACATAAAAATGTAAATATTTCCTCGTGTTGAAATCCCGGTTTAGTAGAGCACTTAAATACATCAAGAGGATATTTTTTGATTTAAAAATAAGGCAAGTGCTATTATGTATTAGTTCCTGTAGTCATTAATCTCCTTTTTTAAAAAGGGGGTAGCTTACGGTTAAAATAGGGCAACTTAATGTGAAGTGACGTTACAAGTGTTAAAAAGAACACACAAAAAAAAAAAAAAATACGGAAGGTTAAAGATTTGTCTATAACAACGTACCAAAAATTAGAACAGCTGACTGTCAATATGATAGAATTTAAAAAAAAATAATAAATGTAATTAATTAATTATTTTTTTTAATGATGTACATTTACATTTTTTTGTGGCAAACTTTGCTCGTTGAAAAAGTACATCGAGTTCAATTTCATCTAGTATTTTTAAGTTTACGATAAGATTTATTCTGGGATGTATGTTAATTGTTTTTCTTTTTTAATGGTGATTTTTTTTAAAATTGCTTTTTGGTTGTTGTTGTTTATTTCTAAACAGTCAACATTAGATTATTTTTAGACCACATTTTATTAGATGACAAGATAAACTTTACAAATTCATATGACAAGAGCAAATAATTATCCACAGAGGAGACAACTCGTGGTCCAGAACCAGCAAAACACGAGTTATACTTCCTTTGTTACCATTTCAACCTCAAATCACTGAAGTGTAATTATATTTTCAAATATTGATATCTGCATCAGATACTTACGGGGGGTTTCTGTGCGAGAGGAAGGAAATAAGTCTGTTAATCCATGAGCCGGTCCAACGTAACAATAATGGAACATTAATGCAAGACATTAAGACTTAGATTCCTAATTGAAATTACTATTCACCCCCAATCCCCATTCTCTCTCTCTCTCTCTTTCTCTCTCGCTCTCCCTCCCCATCTCTCTCTCTCTCTCCTCCTTTCTTTCTCCCTCATGATGTTTTCATTTCTTCTCATGTACTTCCTGGGCACATAAAATCCTATTTCTCAACATACGTAAAATTTACTGCTATCATTTGTTTAGTTTGATTTTAAAATTTCCTTCACAATTAAGTACTTTTTGCAAAATCTTGTTATGATTAATTTTTTTTTTAATATGCACATGATTTACTTATTAAAAGTGATTAATAAAATGTTCAACATTAATCTAACATTTCGTTACTCAATCTTGTTATTGTGTCAATTTTTTTTTTTTTTTTTTTTTTTTTTTTTTTTTTTTTTATTTTTTTTTTTTTTTTTTTTTTTTTTTTAATTTTTTTTTTTTTTTTTTTTTTTTTTTTTTTTTTTTGAAAATATCTTTTTCAGTGTTCGCTAACGGCGCCTTTAAAAAAAAAGAAATCAATAGAGTATTCAGCAGATGACCACATACATTTATTTATTGTAGTTCGTCCATCGAAATCGATTATGACCATTTTAATAATCGTATTCGACCTAGTTCTGAAATTTGCTGTGGGAGGTGTGTGTGTGGGGGGGGGGGCAGATGGCTCATGAGACCGACCATGGCACGAAAAGTTCCTTCGCAGCAAGTGCACGGGGTGGCTGGGATCGTGACAACTTCCTTAAAAAACAAAAGTTCCTACAAAACACCCGTCACAGAAACGACAGAGACAAAAACTCCGAGCCAGTGGACGACGGCGGGGCATCGCTGAACGAGGCCACTGTCACTGTCGTTGCAATGATCCTCGTCGCAGCAGGTCGTGCACGTCATGGAAGTGGTCCCGAACCCGCTGGCCTGGCAGCCGTAGAAGCACTCGTCGGTGCAGTCCCTGGAGATGCTGGTCACTATTCCTTTAACGGTCACCAGCGTCACCTAGCCGGTAGAAAGATTACAATACAGCCAGTAATATCCAGACCACTTTTGGGGGGAAAAGGTGATTTTTAAAGAAAAATGTATTGCTATTATTTGTAGAGAAATTTAAATTTTATTTTTTAATTTAGTAGTTGCATTCTCAAAAATCAGGGAATGGGAAAACATGAAGTAAGACGATACAAAATGGTACACTTTCTTTTGATAAAATAATCACTGGTTTAAGCGATAACGGGGGAGTGAATAGGCACTTCATTACGTCAAAGGTCATGGTTATTTTCGTGTGCGACTCTGATCCAGCATGTGTGGTCACTCTCACTTAATTTGTTCCTTAAATCCAGAACAATATTTCAATTTAATTGCGGATTGCGATCCCATTTTATGTACCGGTAATAATGTTAAACTTTCATCATTACTCTTTATGTTGGGAATTGGGATGTCCTACAGGTGACTTACCTTAAATATGACATATATTTATTTGAATACATACACACACACAAACATACACACACATATATATATATATATATATATATATATATATATATATATATATATATATATATATATATATATATACGTGTGTGTTGGGGTGGTCTTACACTGGTTTAACTGTATTGCACCGAATAGGTTACATTGAATTTGAAAGTTAAAGTTACTTATTTCCAACTTACGAAACAGAATGGCTGCTCGTCATTGCACTGACGAGAAGGTGCGTAGGTGACATTGACCTGACAGGTCCGAGGTTCCCAGATGTGACTGAATTCCTCCGAACATTCGTAGCAGAGCAACATGTGACAGGGACGCACTGAAATAAACAAATTGAGGAAAATGTGTCAATCATTTTGGTTCTTTCAGTTGAATGTATTTCAAACAAACGTAGGATAAGTCAGGGCCGATATTTTTTTTTTTTTTTTGCAAAACGTGTCAGTTTTAAATCCATTTTTAAGGTGCTTCGCTTAAAGAGCAGATGCGTGAAATTTATAATCGAATTATCGGAGTGACCCAATATGTTCTTGATATTAACAGGTTGTAATGAATTGATCTATGTGGCCAATTACTTCCGGGTGTGATCATTTTTTTAAATTATTTTTTTTTTTTTAGTTAAGGACAATTCAATTTTTGAAAAGGAGCCAAACTTAATTTGAACAACTTTTTGTTACACATTTCATGTCAAAATAATGTGCTAATATGAAACATGGTCTCTTACCACGAGAACATTCTAGGTGTTTTGTATAAGCTATTACTTAACTTGGTCTTAAATTGTTTTGAGGTGGATCTACTTTTTGGAGATAAAATTCATAAACGATTTTGTGAAGGTGGTCTAAAACAAAAGGCTTTCCAAAAACTACAGTAAACATTGTTTGTTTGAAAGTGATTAGTCTCTAGAGTTCTCAAGAAATTACATAAATACTGGAACAAGATATGTTTTGGCTTGAGGAAAAAAAAAAAGACTTATGAAAAACAAAAAAAGACGTTTCGACTAAAAAGCCACCTTTGCCGGACAATACCAAAAACAAAAAAGAACATCATTATTTGATAATAAAAACTAAATTGCTCCCAGATCACAAGGCAGCTCTCTCAGTCTGTGTAGGAACCGAATTCCCAGCCAGATGGAAACAAAGAACTCAAGAAATTTAGATTTTGAGTATGAGCAATAAAATAGTGACTGCAGTTAAGAGAGTGACGTAATGCTTCCACGTGACCGTGCTAAAAACAACAACATAATTTTAATTCATAGAAATGTTGTTGGTTTTGTTTTTTTTTAAATCGTGTGATTTGTGAATTTGGGGCGCTTTTCATATAAAATGTTTTATCCATTGTAAGTTAATATATTCATGTACGGTCTATGTCTTACATTTAGGAAAATGCTGTTCTGATTTTATGAAGCTTGTATATTTTTTTAAAGTTTTTTTTTAAATCTAATTTTAAAAGCTTTATTTAATTCAACTATTTTGATGTAGTGTAGGCATTTTTGACCAACCTGTTGTAGACAGCTAAACCTGGGCAAGGCAGTTGGCGCCACGTCATAGATCATGTGATTAAAAATTAAGGGTAAATTCTCAACTGTCCTCAGTCTAACGCAGTGGTTCTCAACCTTTTTAATGCCGCGACCCTTTTAATACAGTTCCTCATGTTGTGGCGACCCCCAGACACACAATTATTTTCAGTTGATACTTTATAACAGTAGAGTATATATGTTTACAGATGGTCCTAGGCGACCCTTGTGAAAGGGTTATGCGACCCTCAAAGGGGTCGTGACCCACAGGTTGAGAACCGCTGGTCTAACGTATGTTGAAACATGTGGGACGCCCAAAATAACAAAGAAAGATCTACTCCAGAACACCATATAACAATACTTTGAGCGCATTCACCAGCTCTGTTGGTAAATTGGTCTTTAGTTTAGTGATATCATGGGTCGTAAAAGTTCGACCTCTCGTCTTAGAAACTTCAATTTCTTTTGTTTTTTTAACCCACTTCATATCGTCTTTATGATATGAAATTCTCAGATTAAAATTAATTCCATACAATCTTTACATTTCTAAATAGTCCACTATTCCAGTTATCGACTTAGACATTGTTTAGCGAACAATAACTCCCAAGAAATGTCTACAGTGTCGCAGCTGGGTATCACAATAGAGGAATTGCTTTAATGTGTATTAGGATTTAACAAAACAGGTACGATTTTAATACAGCTTAAGTGAATCCATACGCTTTGTTATTGTATTTCAATGATGTTTTCCCCTTGTAGGCTACTTCATAAATTATTAGACATTGTATATTTAATAAGGAATAAATATGTCTTAGTTATCTCACCAATAATCACAGCGATAACAATCAAAATAAAGCTCAGCCGTCCAGTTAGAGGTAGCCGACCCATGGCAAGCTCCGGTCTAGTGCTGACATTCACATGGTCAGATCTAAAGATATAAATTTTACAACTAAGTTTGCATAAACAATTACTTTAACTGAAACTTGAATGTTTGAAAATTCAAATGAAATTCGAACACATAGCATTTGTCGTCTATCACAAGAGCGTGGAATTCATTACAAAAAAAACAACAACAAAAATCAATTATAAATTATTTAAAATTATGTTAGACATAAGTGTGAAGTTTCGTTTCAAAAGTTACACACAAAAATACACGAAGACGCAATCACAAATAAAAGTTGATATAACTATGACACGAAAGAGAGTGAAATCTCGCCTCGGCTACTCACGTTGGATACGTCAATGGCCGCCCTTTAAATGGCAGGGCTGAGAGTTTTGGGAAATCAGAAGCAGAACAGTCGCTAACTGGGGTATTGACGCGCAAAGTGGGATCGATACCATCACGTCCCTAGTCAACAAAACAATTTTTTTTGTTATCGGAGCTGAAATCAACAGTGACGGTAATCAATAACCAATCAATCGCTATTGGCCATAGGGCCTACCAAAGTTTATATAAAAATAGCCGGCATCACAGCAAGTTCAAGCTTGTTGAATTATTTGCAGTTAATTCAACATCGACGTCCATCGCTTCACTGCCCGCTGGATAAAAGCAATGATTTTAATGAAGTGGGCTTTTTTTTTTCTTTGAGACTCATAGGTGTAGACGGGTTGCAGTTGACCACCACCACCCCCACCACCACCATGGCGTAGCTAGGGTTAGTTCCACCGGTAGTGATTTTTGCCGCTCCACTTCCCCGAAAAAAACCTCTGCGGTTGACCGAATAATGCCCGTAGTGAGCCTCTCCCGCTTTGAAACTCCTTCCTACGCCGTTGCAACACCCCCCCCCCGTTCCCCAATAAATTAATTAATTAACCATGGCTGGCTAAACCTTGGTTTTCTATCGTTTTATTGGGTTGAGATATTTGCCCGCGTAAAATCGTTACAGCTTGCAAAGCAGGGGTGCTCAAACTCTGGCCCAAGGGCCTGATCCGGTCAAAAACTGATACTTTATTTTAACCACTGCAAAAATCACCAGTCAGCTCTGCGTTCAAAACTTAGCAGTGAATTTGCTATAGATTAGGGCAAACGGTAATGACATGTATCAATTAAAGAAGAAGCAATTCATCATTGCATCATCGTCTCTTTAAACGTTTCTTAAGATAAGTACTAAGTAGTCATTAGTGTCACAGTGTTATAGTATATGTGCTGTAAAAGTAATAAGCCTATTTATGAATACCTTTCAATTACATCATGGCCTTCGCCGATTTATTGTCTAATTTTTCTATTACAAAACTTTTTTAAAAAAAACCATGTGGAAAAAAAAAAAAAAAAAAAAAAAAAGTCGTGATTTGCTTGTGCACAATGCAGTAAGTTAGATAACGGAAAGGAATGTTTCTCTAGTCTGCCCTTTGGATTCTTCTTTCTTAAGAAATTGATGGAGTTTCTCGAAGCTATTTAGTCAAAGAAGACGGGGAAGTTTGTGGAATTTAACACAAATTATATGGTCATAAGGCTCATCATTGCTTTTTTTTTTTTTTTTGTTGTTGTTTTTTTTGGGGCATATTTGTCTAAATGAGCTTATTACTGTGTTACAAGGAGGGCATGGACGTTCAACAGAGATGTCATTGCTTTCACTTTCGGAACAACAGTGCACCCGCTGCCACTGATGAAATCATGCCTTCCAATTCAATCTTCCCTTTTCTCGGGAATGGTCCATGGCTAGAGCTCCCCCACCACCAAATCGGTTAATCCCCCCCCCCTTTTTTTTTCTGTGTCACAAAGTGACATCCTTGGCCCAGCTCGGGTAACGCATTCAGTCGTGTCATCAGGTCGTCCCGGTAGGCACACATTCCCAAGCTCGTGTGAGTTCGCACCACTGTGGTTGGTTTATGCTTGCTCTACATATTTGATTGGCCACGGTTAAACTCCTGACCACTTGTTTGACCAGACATACTTGTAATACCGCGGATACACGCCTTCTACGGCCTAGACGCTCACGGTACACGCCGCAGCCCTCGTTGCGAGACCCTCGGGTGGGAAGACCAGCCGGCATTCACCAAACTGGTTCACGTGTTAGAAGAAGAAGCCAATCGCATCCCGGTAGCTGGATTTGAGGCCTGAATCCAAGGAGTCCGCCCAGAGGCAGAGCTAGTCCACCTTACCCAACCGTGCGTGCCGGCAACATACAGGATATATATATAGGGTTTCTAGGACTCAACATCCCAGAGAAAAAAAATACCGCTGGGAAGTCTGTGATCCTTTTACCGCCCAGAAAAAAGGTTCGGAGGCGAGGAAAAAGGAGGATCCACTCGGTACACAGAAGCGATATCACACAGTGGCCATATTTATTATATAATGCTAGGGCTTAACCGGGTTCAGTTTTTTTTACACCGCGTACGGGTATGTTGAGAAAATACCCGATGGGTCCAAGTGTTACACACACAAAAAAAGGGTTAACTTCTTATTTTCTATAAACAATAGGCATACAGACAGTCCTAAACCATACCTGCTGACCTTTAAATAAAATTCCTACCAGGCCTACACCCTACCCGTGGCTCTTTATCGATTAATATAACATTTGCCTCCAAAAAAAATTGTACCTTAAATCCAGAGTTCAACCGTCACGCATGGCGCTCTTTGCTTCACAGCTTCCCACCCCAACCCCCACTCAGTACTATTAATATAAAACATATGGAGTAGGGGGAGGACCGGTTGCGAAAAGGAAGCAGCCATACCAGAAGTGATATATATATATATATATATATATATATATATATATATATATATATATATAAGATAAAATAAAAACAGTAAACACACACATACTCTCCTACAAAGCAATAACGTCATGATGATGAAACGCCGGGTCTTTAATTAAGGGTAGCCAAATATGGCAAGTCATAAGACTGAAAAACTCAAATGACAAAGTTTATCTGTAAGAAGATTGATTGTCAACATTTAAAGCTTTTATTTCTATAAAAGTTTGTTGTTGTTTTTTTTAATTGAATGTTAGTTAATAAGTAGGTTTGTTTCATACTAACAAAAGGACCTTCTTTTAAGATATTTTTTATGTGCGCATGAATGGTATAATCTTCCACGGTGCTTAACCTGTAACACAAACAGAAACCTCTAGACAAGAGCAGGTGATTTATTGATTCACACAGGTCATCCATAAAAATAGTACATTACACCACAATAGTCAGCCGTTGGCTGGCATCTTCGTACAGTCCACAAATATGGGACACAGGAACGCCCTGGTCAAGTTGAAGCAATAGGACACAGGAGTGCCTTGGTCAAGTTGAAGCAATAGGACACAGGAGCGCCTTGGTCAAGTTGAAGCAATGTTCTGTTCATGACTTCAAGCGGAATTAAGCGTTACATTAAGAATTTCAGGAATGTTTACTTTTCTGAAGATCCATTTATTGTCCTTTCTGATGCTGATTGGACAGCTGCTCCCACAGCTACCTTCCTAATGCTTGATTCCCCAGCTACCTCCCTAATGCTGATTGGACAGCTGCTGTCATGGCTGCCTTTCCGGTACTCGGAAGCAGCTCTTCTGTTTGAAACAGCTGATGAAATGAAAATCTGAAACTGAAGCTTTGTGACCAGGACGAACGAAAATTAACAAGACAAAGAGGGAAGAAAATAAAACAAACTCTTTTTTTTTCAGGACAAAATGTTTGTTTACTACATTGAGTAGAAATTACTAGTAGAATGAAGTGCATGAAATCACAAACAACTCCACCACACACCTGTGCACACAGTAAAACATAATATCTAAAAGAGGAAAACAACCATGTTTTGAGAGATGTATGATACTCAAGTACATGTGTGACCAGCCATTGGTACTAATGGGATACCTTCACCTTCGTAAAAAAAAATAAAAAATAAAAAAATTATGATAAATGTAAACAACATATTATTATTGATAAGTACATGGACAGACGAATTTCACTCATATCAAATTTAAAAATAAAAGCTTGTAAAAAAAAAAAAAAATTGATGCACACTGAAGATAATTTCTGAACCTCCTCATGAGAAAATCAGGACTTACTTTATATAGGTATAATCTGAGTACTTCATCATTTTATCCCTCCAGCCTATTGAGGGGAGTGATATTTTACAAATACGCCAAGCATTCTAAGCTAACAAGATGTTCAGTCTGGTCCAAATGAACTTAAATTCTTAACTCCTGTCCAACATCTAAAGCTTTACACCTGCACGCTATATTATAACACTTACACTGATGGAATGTACACTCAAACTAGATTCCCGCAAGCTTTATAAACTGCAAAAAAAAATTATTTAAAAAAAAAAAAAAACATGTTAAATTTTCTGCCATTTTTGGATACCCCAGAAGCATAAAAAAAACACAGTGATAAGATAAGCATACTTTGATAAAATGGTCTCCTTCAATGGACCTTTGTCCAACTTACCGATGTAAAAATACATTCAGCTTAGTTTAATCATTGTGTACCTAACGTTCATACCTTGAACTGCTGAGGACATCCAGCGATAACAACTGTATTCAACCACTTAAATATTTGTGTGGTCCTTCGAAGGTGACAAAATAAAATGGATCCCCGGGGCATTTCAAATGAAATCGCACCAGTTAGATTCAAAATGTCCCATTTAAACCATTCACTTTCCTGTTCTGATTTGGATCCAATGTCTTTAAACTATCCAATGAGTTGTCCCCAGTGGTTATACTTTATGACTTGACTTCATTGAAAACATGACATTGCTTATCTCAATACGGTACTACAAAGCATTTTTACTTTTAAATCAGAACAAAAAAAATATATATCTATGACCAAAAAAATTTTTTTTATTAAATTAAAATAAAATGACTTGTTAATCAGCTATTTCTCACTCAGAGTGCCCACCCCCTTCCCCCACCCCCAACAGATACAGCAACAAACAGCTTTGGCCATTTTATCAGCTCTTCTCAATGACAATTTACTCATTGAAATTAATTAAAGAGTTAAAAAATGAGTTTCTTCATTCATGTGTCACCAAACCTCTCAATAAGAGAACCACTGAACACAATCATTGACCCATGTTTCAGGAAAAAAAAGACCCAGTGAGCCTCAGGGTAATGTTAGCTGACTGCATGGCTCAAGGCGGCCCAACACTCTCTCATGACATCAGGAGGACTCAAAAATTTACTATCACTGTTGTTGAGCCATGCCTGTTTGTCAACACCCCTTGTCTTTGGAGTGTTTGATAATCTCATCTAAACCCGACAGTAAGCTGCTGAATGAACACTTTATAGGACAAGAGATTCTACTAACAGGTATGCTGAGGTAAACCACAACATTACATAAACTTAATAGCATGATAGTAACGTACAAAAAAAGTACGGAAAAACACACAAAATGGGGGGGAAAAAAAGCAATGAAAAAATACATTGATTTGTGTACTTGGCATCATTTAGTGATGAGATGCTTCCAATGTAGTGCAACAGCATAGTCTAAAATAATTTACAAAGATAGAAGATCATTTTTTTTATAAATGAAGTAAAATTAAAAAGTATTGGCGGCAAATTTGTTTGGATAATTTATACAGAAATTTTTAAACACATGACTTGAGAGGGAAAATAACTGTATAAGAAAAGTATGGGGTCTAAACAAGGATCTGTATGAAATCTAACAGGGATCAGCATGATATCTAATGGAGATCAGCATGATATCTAATGGGGATGAGCATGATATCTAAAAGGGATTAATATGGTGTTACATGAAACAACACAGGAGTATCTGTGTTACCAAATAACTGCACTCATGATTTTTTTTTTTTCAAAAAGGGACATAACTGAAGTTCATTAGAAATGTAAATCATGTGTCACCTAGTTGAGGAGTTAAAATTAAATATTTGAAAGCTTTTAACTTGACAATATATGCCAATGGCACAGAAATGAAATGATTATATAATCTCACATAAAAACAATTAGTTATTTAATCTTATTACTATAAGTTAATAAAAAAGCAATTTTTTAAAAAAAGATACCACAAAACAAAGCAAAATTAAAGTATAATTTGTTTTTAAAAAAGTTTTATGTAAATGCTATTTAAAAATAGTCTCATATAACATGTAAACAAAAATCATTAGAAAAGTTAGGCGTGATGGGACTTTTACCATTGTCAGGTAAAACAACTGCAACATGTCTTGTCACATTTTAAAATAGCTGATGACAATGTCACATTCTAAAATAGCTGATGACATTGTCACATTTTAAAATAGCTAATGACATTGTCACATTTTAAAGCAATGATGACGCTGTCATTTTGTATATTTATATAATATTTTTAAAAAGACTTTCACCTTCCCTGACATGGCTCGACTGCATAAGTAAAAAAAAAAACTATTGTCAGAATGTGCTAAATAAGCTTGTATACAATGAAACCACTTTGACATGGTAGACACATCTGTCTTACAGACTCACTGCAAACCACTTCGACAGGGTAGACACATCTGTCTTACACAGGCCTGCACAACTCAAAATGTAAGGCTGGCCCTAATACTATATGAACAACTTGTGCAGACCAAAAGAAAATAGGAAAGGGCTTGTGCAGGCCAAAATAAAATAGGACAGGGCAAAAACTATTAAGAAAATAATGAGAATAAAGAATATTTCGTTACTTTGTAGGCCGTAATGTTATGCAGGGCTGGTCTTTCAGACTCACTGCAAACCACTTTGACATGGTAGACACATCTGTCTTACAGACTCACTGCGGGTCTCTTTCAAACTCTTAAACCCACAAAAAAAAAAAAAGTGAGGAGTAGTGTGGGATATTTAAAATAGACATGAAGCCCAACTTACAGTACATATACTTTGGAAGGAAATAGCCGAAGCAACAATTTACACATTTCTTGAGCACAAGTTGAAGGAAAAACTGTATTAAAATCTGTTCAAAAAGCTGGTCAGAAATATTGAAACTATGTCTTACACAGCATGAGCTTCTAGGCCTTGCACAAATGTTGGTCAACATAAACAGGCTGCACACATCCTTAAAAATAATGTTATGAATGATGTTTGTGAGGACGACTTTGATATTATTCAACACATAAGCATATTAAAAAACTATGGTATGTTTAACATACTGAACAAATATGAAATGGATATGTCGATAAGAGTCAGATAACAAAATGTGTAATATCAGTGAAGGAGAAGCTGTTTTGGAGACAGATAATTTCAAAGCCATGTTTAAGTAAAGAGGAGATTATCTCCCTTTCTGTGACACTGTGTCCAGCTACTGTCGTGTTAGGTTCAATCCAATCACCCATTACAACAATGAACTGCGCTACCGTGTTGAGCTAGGCAAGTCGCTTGTGGCAGATGAGGTGAGACCATTAGATACAAACTAATCAGACAATACAACAACATGAACTACATTACAGCAAGTTAAACCCAGATAAAGTCACAGACAAACTTATTTTTGGCCATGTATCAGCAGTAATGTAGTAGCGCCCGCAAAGACATAACAACGATCAACATATAAACTAAAGCTTAGAGCATGAATGGTCCGACATAACAAGTGCAATATTGAAAAATAAATTGAAATATAGCTATATGTCTCTTCATTACTGGTACTAAAACATAATACAACATTCCTTCTTCTTCCGTTAAAAAAATGGTTCTTTAAAACTATTTTTGGCAGTGTTAAATTATTTGTTAAAAAAACCAGATAAACTTAATGGGAACATTTGAAAACAATCATAGAGCATATGGGGCCATATATTATAAAGAAATTAACATATCTCGTTAAGTTGACAGTGTATGTATCTATATATATATAAATATATCAAATAGTGATATAGAAAAATATTTCCAGTTCAATTAGATAAGAATTAAGAGTAACAAAAGCCATCAATTTGGCTGATTACATAACCTAGTCTATGTGTCATTTGTTTAAACACCTAAAGAAGTTAAGTCAAAATTAAATCAAATTAGAGCGGTCGCAACTTCATTTTTGGATCATAAATGTGCTTATAAGGTTTTGTTCAAGCCAAACAGACACCAGAATATTCTTAAACTCTAAGTTCATCTTTGGACCAAGAGGAGAATGAACAACCGCACTGGACCATGAGGAGAAGGAAAAAAACCATACTGGATCATGAGAATGAACAAAACCACACTGGACCATGAGGAGAAGGAAAAAAAACGCACTGAACTATGAGGAGAATGAATGAAACTGCACTCGACTATGAGGAGAATGAACAAGACGCACAACAGCTTTACAACACGCAAATGACTACATCAATAGGACAAACCTGAGTCGTTTTTATAATTATCTTAGTGCTGTGCCAACAATTCCCTATTATGAAGCATGTTTCAAGTAACTACATTTAACCCAAAAATTAAAAGCTTGATGATGGTAGATGTTACAGGTGATTGAATATTGAATGATGAGTGGCTTCCAGGTCATTTTTAATTTTGATATACAAATATTAGTCAGGCTATATAACTAATGTACAGAAATGACTAGGTTAAGTTGATTTAATCCTGAGTAAAACATTCCATCTCCCTGCAGAAATTGGACATCCCGTCCAAGAATTAAATAAAATGTATATCTGAGAAGCAAGTTCAGCAATCTCAGTCTCCCAGAGATAAGCTAACACTGGTGTCTTTGCGAGCTAGGAGATTTGTTCTTAATACAATACATAATCTAACTCAATCTTGTAAAAAAAAAAAAAAAGTAAAAAAAAGTTGCCAACAACAATTAGGAAATATATAGACGCATTTGTCAATGTATCCAATTAAAGTAGATTTAAAAATGCTGTTATTGCATTAGACAAGGGGTCCTCAAAATACTGCCAAAAGCAGAGCATCCCTTTCCTTTGAAACACTATTAAGTTTATGGTGGATCTCTTATTGATTTTAAATATGTTAATGTTTTTCTTACTACTACAAATAAAATATGTGCAGTGTGCATAGAATTCATTAAAATTTTGTTTAAAAACTAAGTCTGGGCCCAACAGTGTCTGAGGTACACCGTACACCGATCCAGCCCCTGACGGCGTCTTACAACACTGATCCAGCCCCTTCTTTAAACAGTTTGAGGACCCCCTTTCTTTAGAATGTACAATAAAAGATTTTGTCTTTTTGCTTTGATGAATTTGTTTCCTCTGCTCAGCACAGAGTATTTCTTTACATAACATGTATACAAAAAATGCTTAGAAAAATAAATTCCCTTTTTCCGCTTTGTCACATGGTACGCTACAATTCACATCAACTAACAGATGACATACAGGATTTCATGTCTCATACTTATTATGCTCTCAACATTTAATGCTCTGCTACCGCAGTGCTATTCTATATACATGGGTGAATTTAGATATTATAAATATAATTTCGGACTGAATACACCGGTGCTCAAAAATAAAATAACCCGCCCAGCCTGATGGATAATGACAACTTCATATCCAGTTTTAACTCCTCATCCTGCTGGCCCCCATGATATAAGCATCTAGGCTGCTGGCCCTAATCCTCTAGGCCAGACCTGCATCTTTAGCCATGCTATAGAACATACTGCTTGGATTCTGCAGCAGGACTTTTGGATCATCAAACTCTTTAATTCTTCCTGCATCCAGAACCAGAATCCTAGAAACAGAACAAGCACAAGAATGTAACTTTGCTGGTGTAACAGCTGAGACAGAAAGCTAAACTTATCCGAGATCACGCAGTCATAATTGAATTAGAGCAAGTGAAACAAAATCAACCCATAAAAACAAAGATTTTCGACTTTAAATCCATTGTATCCGTTTTCGATTGCATCTATGTAACTGTACGTGATTTATCATTTATTAAGAAGCAGTTATGTAAATGGGTGAACTACTGACCAAAACACTTTTCATATTTCCTTCATTATCATCCAGGAGATGCCTACCTTGTGTAGTCCATGATCGTGTTGAGTCTGTGTGCTATGGTCAGAACTGTACAGTTTGCAAATTCACTACGGATGGTGGCTTGGATTAGATCATCTGTCTCCAAATCCACAGCTGCTGTAGCCTCGTCCAGTATCAGAACCTGAGTTTTTCTGAGAAGCGCCCTCGCCAGACACACCAACTGCCGTTGTCCTACACTGAAATGAGATTTCTAAAAATCAGCTAAATAATCTACCGAAGGCCAACAAAACAACTTTTAAAATATCTGAATGAAGCAGTTATATCATTAAAATTAAACCTAAATAAATACTATCTAAACTAAGTCTACTATAGCGTTTTGAAATACAAAAATCATCCATTGAGTTGACTATTTGCTATCCATACAGAACTTTGTTGACTAGTACCTGAGATTTTCTCCTCCCTCTGAACATTCAAATAGGAGACCTTTCTCCAGGCCAGAGACAAAAGTTTTGAGGTGAGCATGCTCCAGTGCAGACCACACCTGCTCATCTGTGTGTGCCTCAAACGGATCCAGGTTCATCCTCAATGTACCAGAGAAAAGAACTGGGTCCTGATAAATAAACACAGCCACTCAAAAATCAGCCAAGGAATTAATCATCTTGAAATTCATCTTTTACCACAGAAAAGGTTGTAGCAAGTACAGAATTTCCAGGAAATCCATGAAACATTCAACAAAACCCATTTCATTTACTTAAATTTGCATTTTTTATTATTATTTTTTTTATTTATTTTATTTGGTAACTAAAATGAATACAGTGCGCACATATTTCAGACTTTGGTTTTATTTCCTGTGTTTTAATTTGGTATTTCATGCCAAACAAATTTAATAGCAAAAAAATGTCTCTTAAACTTTTAAAAAAGACGTTTTCCAAAATCGTAAAGTTGATAGGACAACGCGACTGAAGCTAAAGACTCAGTTGATAGGACAACGCGACTGAAGCTAAAGACTCAGTTGATAGGACAACGCGACTGAAGCTAAAGACTTAGTTGATAGGACAACACGACTGAAGCTAAAGACTTAGTTGATAGGACAACACGACTGAAGCTAAAGACTCAGTTGATAGGACAACGTGACTGAAGCTAAAGACTTGAGTCTAAGTACCTGAGGGATGATGGTAAGCTTGGACCGCAGGTCATGAAGACCGATTGTAGCGATGTTAATGCCATCCACAGTTATGGTTCCCTCTGCAGCCTCGATGATTCGGAACAAGGCCAGGGTCAGGGATGATTTTCCTGCTCCAGTGCGGCCGATAATGCCCACCTGTGGAAAGACATGATTTATTTAGGAGATAAATCGCTCTTTGAGCAATATTGAATACACTTTGTCTCTAAGAAGTAGATAAAAGTAGAAGGATACTAACAATTGAGATTTATCAAGATAAATGTCTTAAAACTGATTAAACATTCCTCCAAAAATCTTTTACAGTTAAAAGTGAATTTAATCATTCTATTTAAGCTTTAAAGAAAGCATTGCTTGGAAGGCATTGTTTGGAAAACATCTAAATAAATGTTTGCTTACCTTTTCCCCAGGTTGTATGGTACAGTTAATGCCCTTGAGCACAAGATCAAGGCCTTCTCTGTAACGGAACTTGTAATCCTTGAACTCAACAACGCCTTTATCCGGCCACCCTGGGCTTGGACGATTGTTTTCAATGACCCATGCAGCCTGGTCAAGTTATAAGAGTTATAATAAAAGATTTTTATACATTTAACAATGGTTTTCTCTTTTGTAAATGCTAATGTGGAATTCTAAAGCCTGTAACATGATCTCTAAATTAGCTACTGCAGCATGTAAAAATACAGTGGGGTCAAATTTTTTGGTGATGTATCCCACACCCACTTCATCACAGATACCGGTACCTAAGATCAACTCAATCAGGGCAATTCCTTTCTCTTAAAGTTAGGACCGAAATATATAAAAATTCTTTGTTCCCCAGTCTGTACAAATGAAATTACCAGCGTTCCCCCACCCCCCCAATGGTTACCAAATCTCAATGATCACTAATTAAGTCATTATTGTCGCTAAAGGAGTTCAAGGCTGATTTCTACACTAGAGAATAAGTTAAGCTGTCTTGTGTTTAAGTTATTATAATTGTGAAATGTTCTCTTGGTTAATATTTTTATTTATTTATATGCTGAAAATAAATTAAAAAAGCATCTATTTGGATCAATAAAAAATGTATCATATCTTAAAATCACTTCTGTTTAACATTAGAAAGTGGAAATGTTTTGTTTTTTAAATGATTGCTACACATTTTTCATAGCACTCTCAGGGATAAAAAAATAGCATTGTGCAGGCTGAAGGGTTAATTATCTTAGCACAAATTTCTACAGGTTCTTTGTAGCCAAGTAATGTTATCATAAGGCTGGGTAGACATAAGATTAAAAAATGAAGAGTTGAAGTACATAAAGTTAAAATAAGATTTAAATTAATTTTGTTTAATGAAGAAAGAAAAATGAAGATCTGGCACATGGAACTCATGAAAAGACTTATAAGAATCACTGACTTGAAGGTAAGAATTGTTATTTTGAAGGTACGAATTGTCAAATTGAAGATAAGAATCGGTCACTTGAATATAAGAATCGCTCACTTGAATATATGAAGTGTCAACTTGAATATATGAATCGCCAATTTGAAGATATGAATCTCTAGCATGAAGACATGAATCGTTATCTTGAAGATAATAATTGCTAACTTTAAGAGATGAATTCCTAAGTTGAAGGTATAAATTGTGGACTTGAACATATGAATAGCCAACAAAGCTTTTTTAAAGAGAATTGAGACAAATACCTCAGTTGGGGTCTCTGTGTACTCTTTGATTCTCTCCACAGCCACAATGTTTGTCTCCAGCTCACAAGTCATACGCACCAGCCAGTTGAGAGTTTGTGTCACCTGAAGACAAAGACAATCACATGATTACATATCCCTGGGGGTCTCATCTTTTATCAGCCAAATCTGAGGTGTTCAATAAAAATGAAGCTATAACAATTTTCTTCTTTTTTTTTTATAATATATATCACATTTAACATTTTCAGTTGATCATGACTAGTATATAGAATGAGAATATTAACATTACTCACATTCATGGCGTAGGTGATGGACAGACCCACAATGCCAGGGCTCAGATCATCCCGACCAATCACGGCAAAGAGTGATGCAAAAAAGATGATGAAGTTTCCCACTATCTCAAGGCGAATAGCCAGCCATCTTTAAGTGTAAGGTGAAATTGAGTCAATACAATGTTTCATGACCATCAACATAATTTAGAATGGGTCATAGCTAACAAAAAAAAAGAAAAACAACAACCTACTTAAGCTTTTAAGAAAGAAAATAAGTATTTCCACCGCAAAGTGTTCAATTTTGTATGGCAGCTTTTTTTTTTTTTGTTGACCTTACAATAATCCCCACTGCAGGCACAAGCCAAGAAATAAACGCACTTCTACAAAACTCAACAACATAAGAGTATTTAAAAATTATGGAAAAATTCAATAATGTAATACATCTGACTTCCCAAAGTTGTGCCACGCCGGTTATAAAACAATAAACATTGTTTACAACAATTATTTCTAATCACGCCAGAGCTTTAGATTCAAGCTTTCAACTCATCAACTAAAAAAACATAACAGTTGGCCAAGGGCTTAGCATATTTCAACTTTGCAATCTCAACGCTAATAGCTCCAATATCGCATCAGCTTTTCAAAATTGTCAGGACCAAAGATTAGCAAAATTGTTTGGACCAAATATACCGCCCAATGATAGAAAATGATGTCTGGAGAATCTGTACAAACCAAGAGCTATACCAATTGTACAAAGACCCACCCATAGTCGCAACAATAAAAAAAGGCAGACTGAGCTGGGCAGGACATGTTGAAAGGATGCCGGAATGTAGAGCAGCAAAGAAGATATACAGACAAAATCTAGGAGCAGACGACTCACTGGTCGCCCTAGTCTGAGATGGATCAACGATGGGGAGAGGGATTTTCACCAGTTGGGGGTTCGTGAATGGAGGCGGAAGGCCATGGATCGATCCGTATGGAAGGATGTGGTGGAGCAGGCCAGGGCCCTACATGGGCTGTAGCTCCACTGATGCTAATGAAAGATTAATGTCACCAATCTTTAAAAAAATCAGTTTAAAGCTCATTAAAATAATGTTTTCAACAGCTCATTGTCAACAATACCATCTCACTACCAACCTGTTGGCCACAATACTAGGGTAGTAGCAGATCTGATTGTTGTCCACTTTGGTTTGAGAGTCTTTAATGAAAAGAGCCTCCTGGCCAAACGCCCTGATGGTCATGGCTCCTGTGATGGTCTCGCCGAAATGGGAGTAGATTGGTGACCTACTTATGGACTCGAGACGTTTCAGTTGTCGGGATGTTGCTACGTAAAATCTCTGGAGAAAGTTAATGTGTTACATCAGTTAGCATAATTTTTTAACTACCAAGTGTTATTTTTAATATTCAGGCATCGTTATTAACGTTGTGATTAAATAAAATTAACATCTTTAGATTTTTTTTTTTTGCGCTACTAGATGTAAGCCTTTTATTTGGAATGCTTAATTTATTATTTCATTGTCTTATGCGACATAATATGGGTTTTCTAAGATAATGATTTACAATACCAATTTCAAATGAGGATTAAACTGATTATAAAATTTAATTAATTCACTGCATAGGGAATGAGCCACTGTTACTAGGTTAGATTTATTAGTTACAAAATTAAATTAAATGTTGAAAGCAAATACACTTGAACACTGATAAAAAATATGTTTATTTTAGAAGATTCCTTTAATGCTGTGATTAATTAAATTCTCATTAAATCATAAACTAAAACCAGCAGGGTATTAAAAGCAACACAGAAGGCACAAGCAAAGCTCTATAAGGTTAAAAAGAAACAAAATAAGCACCGCAAGCACCAATCAAATACATTGATAAAAAATGCAATGGTTAAAAAAATTTTTGTATCATAGTGTTAACTTAATTCAACCATTGAGTTCCTTTTTTTCTCCTTAATATGATTGTAACTTGACATGCTAAGCCATTTCAATATGACATCTGAATTTCCTTATTTACATATTTTGTAAAAATATTGATGATCATCTCTCAGGTAAATGATAAAATAATGTACTTGGTTCAGTAGACACTAAGTATCATGTGCCCATTTCAATTGCTACAGGAAGAATTACCTTATTAACTAGCGAGAACCCGGCATGCGTTGCAATGGAATGCAAAGAAAAAAAGTGTTTGTGTTTTAAAGACGTTTTTTTAAGTTATTTTTAAATAAAACATTTTTTTTTTCCCGTCTGGTGCGTACACAAATAAATTAAAAGGTTTTTCGACACATGAGCAGGCAAATTACAGCTGTCCATGTGAGAAGCATGGATTTTTTAAATTTAGTCCACACACTTTTAGCGATTGATCCACCCATGCAGTTGCTTTGTTTCAAATTATATTTATATACCTTGCATAAAAAAAAATTAGTATGTCACTTGTATTCGATTCAAATCCATCCACGCATGAAATAGCTCTATTTGAAATTATATTTGTATAGTTCATGTAAGTAAAAAATAATTTAGGGCCCCCAGCCCCAAAAGGAATATTTCAAAATGGATAACCTAATTCAGAAACCTTTGCGGGCATGCGCACAACAACTTACCAAAGTTTTATTGCAATCGGATGAATGGTATAGGAACGCATAAAAATTATGTTTAGCTCATAAAGGGTGGAAAAAATAATTTAGGGCCCCAGGCCCAAAACGGAATATTGTAAAATGTGTGCAATAATTCAGAAACATTTGCGGGCAAGTGTACAACAACTCACAAAAGTTTTATCACTATCGGATGAATGTTATAGGAGCGCATACAGGACATACATACATTATTTTGTATATAGTATGTATAAATATAGTTTATCCAATAAAAGATACCCTTTGCGTTACTATTCAAGGAAGCATTCCGTCTGTCTGTCCATCCATCTATCTATCAATCTAATCTTTATATCTATCATCTATCTAATCTATCAGTCTGTCTGTCTCTCTATCTATTTATCTATCTATCTATCTAAGAAAAGCTTAACCCATCTCTATTTTGAAAAATTAATTTTCACTTGTAAATGATTGGGTTTTGATATTTAAGTGGATAATTATGTAAACGTACTTAGCCTTTTGTTAACGTTATTGATTTTCTTAATTTGTAAAATGAGAATATAGCATCTATTTTTCACAACTGTATTATGGTTGGATTTAAAGATATTGTCATCCACGTAAAAATCTACACACCCTATTTCCTACTCCCGATATTTATGTACCTAAGAAGGTTCATTTTTTATCAATTTTATTCTGAGGCGAATCTTGTGCTGCCTTGGACAAATTAAATTATCGCATTACTCCCCGCCACCACCCCACAGAGCTAAAAAAAAAAAAAATTAATAAAACAAATTTCAAATTTTTTGCATTTCTTTTGCTTTGGTCTTATTTGGATGAGTGATAAGTGCATTAGTGCATGCTATTTGGCTATGTAGTTTTGCTGCACTGATCGAATTAAACTGCATTTTCTTATTAAAAGTATATTTAAAGGTTAAGTTTTTACTTCTTTATAAATTTCATAAAAGTATATTTTCAGAATGAATAAAAAGTAAAAATTTATTGAATGTTAAAAATACAAAGTTAAAGTTGTATTTGATTTTAGCAATTTAAAAATCAATCAATTATATTTATTAAATTTACTTTTAAGAAGGAGAAAATACATAATCAGTTTTGTTACGCACCGTTATTAAATCATAGAAACTTAGAGCCATTGCTAAAATAGACAATTAATCCTTGCCTATTTATTAAAATCAAATTAATTTTATTTTTATTTTGCAATATTAACAACCCATTAAAAAAACACTAAAAATAGATGTTTGGGTTTTCCCGATTATTGTGATTACAATGCAATTCTGAGATCATAATTTTTTTTATTAATAATTTTTTTCAAAACTTTTAAATTAGGATAAAATGTTTTAAATAGTTCCATAGTTGTTACTTTAAATTTATTTGTAATTTATAATAATGTTACTAAAATAAAAGGGGATATATAATATTTTTTGAGCATTTAAATTTATTCGATTTCTGTAAAATAATAGAAAATAACTATAATTTTTTTTTAAATTCTAACAAATATTTTCGGTTCTTTAGCGTTACGATCACCATAGCTTATTCTTGTATACATTGCAAACTAAAAAAATATAGCATCTGATTGAAAAAAATGAATATTATTGTGGACAGCATTATTTTAAAGTTACCTGGAAGTAATGTCAAAAATCGATAGCCTTATTTAGGGAAAGACTTACAGATAAAGAGTCCTCTTCATAAAGAAATAAACTCATCTCAATGAAAATAGTTATTTAAAAAGTTTAAAAAAGGTCGAACAGGTGCTTATCCCTGTCAAAGTAGAATCAAGAAAAGAAAATCTGATTACATTTAATTCTGGCATTGCTATGTCAATGACAAAAAATCAGAGAGGATTATTTTTTAAATGTTAATTTTTCAAAATGTAAAATTGATCTGGGAGGGTCATAGACAGGTGGAGGGTGGAGGTTGTGCAAAACAAACCAATAGAATTGTGTTTCTTTTAGCAAATGCTGACATCTGCCTAAAAAGGATTTAGAAATAAAACAATCCAGTAATTTCTATTACTACGGAATGCTGTAGAATTAAAAATGGAATTGGTTACACAATCCAAGAAAACTAACGTAACAGATCTCTAAATGGCTTGTTTAATTTGAGATTCAAAAATATGTGCTGTAAAAAATCACTTAAAACTTATTCTATGTATAGACCTTTTAAAATTATATCATGATTTGAAATTTACTCATGAGATAACAGTAAAATGTGTAATATAAAACTCATTCAATATAAAAAGCATTGACTGATGATGAGAATAATGCTTTTTGTTCCCTGAAAGAGAAAAATCATTAAGTCATTTTTCATAACACAGTGAGCTTTTTTTCTTTTTCTTTTTTTAAAATAAAAAATACAACAAAGTGAAATATGGTATTTTAAATTAGAGAATATATATCTACCAGTACCCAAGACATAAAAAATTGTCAAGATAAGCCCAGGCATTACAGCAATTGGTTAAAATATTTATAGTTAACAAAAGACAACATCTAGGTGTGAGAAATTCAAATAGGATTACTTCAATACAGTGGAGGATCCAATGTTTACAAAGTTACAACATGAAAGAGAACGAAAAATAGGAAGGGAAACTGCCGGTTTTGTGTTCTTACAAAAAATGAACACAAATTTTTTGAGGCATCCTTTGGTGTAAGCGTAAAAGCCTTTACTGTTTACAAAGAGTGCTGGCAAAACTAAAATGATGCATTTACAGAAAGCGTATGAGATCAATGAGGCTCTAAAACCATCACGACTTGCTGTAAACTATCAATATGTTTTGTCAAGTTTCAAATCGAGCTGCTCTTGGCTCTGCTGATGTGAACAATACAACACATCATGGGGAGTGATATCATCATGATAGGAATATCATCTGTTGTTTGCCATTAGGTCAATGAGTTTATCACAGTAGATGAGATCATCATCATATATTTTGGTATCCTTTGAGATGTTTTTTGTTTTTTTATTTAAAGTATTGGGATAAGCAAAGAGAAGTAAAACATTTCTAAGAGGAAAAAAAAGTAGATGAAATTCACTACATTTGTTATGATAGTCTCTAACTGCAAGATACAAAAATAAAAAAAGGTTTATGTGTGTGCGCTGTGTTATCATTCCACCAAGATAAACCTGCCCTTGTCTGTGCACATAACAGACATGCATTACTTTACAGTCACCATTCTTAAAACACAGTGAAATGACTGCTTTAAAACCCTTTAAGTACATTCAAATTAAGAGACTCTTTGCCTTCCACTAGACAGTGGCCAGCTGATGGCTTAGTCTGTGAAGTTTTCTTCAGTATTTAAATGAATAAATATTTTAAAACCTCAGCTAGGGAAATTTTTCTTTTATCCAAAAAGAGATATAGAGGCAAGCCCGATTATCTGAATTCAGCCCGGCAAAATTAACAAGTAACCATGTCAGATTTAAATGCCGCCATTGACCAAAGTGTTTATTATATTTTTTTAAACATGGGCATGAAAATATGACCTTATTCACACAATGAGTTATTTTATTAAAATTCTGTAACTACTATGGAATTGCTTACCCCCCCTCTAATGTATCAAAATGTCAAGACAGTTGATGTTAGTTACTTTACTCGTTCCAACACAAGTACTCTTAGAAGGAGTCCTTTATACCTGAACAAAATAATAGATGACTGCCAGTGGCACAATCACAGCCAGGAACAAAGGGGTTGAGATGGAAATGACCACAAGAGTGGCCGACGCTGACATCACTGTGCCCATCAACATGAGCATCACCGAGGGGATGACTATGTCCACTGTGTCAACATCCTTGCTGAACCTGTTGACCACTCGGCCCAGGGGGGTCGTGTCAAAGAAACTGACAGGCTGCCGAATGATGGCTAACAGCAGTCCCATGTGGAGGCTCCTTGAGGCCCTGGATGCTCCGATCGCGGCGATGGCTTGGGAGGTCAGGATGAAGATTCCTACAAATATTTCAATGTTGGTTTTTTTTGTTGTTTTTTTAAACTTCTTCATGTTTACTTTATAGTCGGCTTCATTGTTTTTCCAAAAAGAAATATGATTAACACATCACTGTGCAAAGTCCATTTGTTGGCCCGATTAGTTTTGCTGTCTTTAAGAACAAGAATGTAAGGATATACACACATAAAGTGAAGATAATAAACACAGAGGTGACATCATCAAGAGAAAGGTGACATGAAACTGTTTTGAAAATTCCTTTCAATAAATTGTTTTGAAAATTCCTTTCAATAAATTTTTTGAAAATTCCTTTCAATAAATTGTTTTGAAAGACTAAGTAAAATATACAGCACCCTTTCTAATATTGAGATCTGAAAATCTGAAACTGAAGCTTAAAGGAGAAAATTTTCTCCTCCAGAAAATGAAAAAAACTGCAAATGACGTTAATGAAAGAAATAATGTGATGATGAGACGAAACATTTCACCCCATCCTTTTTAGTTGCCGTCAGTGGTAGCGCCTTGAAGCTGTTGTTATCGTAACACATTAGCAAAATGTCAGTGAACAGAAACAAATACATGCCAAATGCAAGCTAATATCAAAGGTTAGTAAGCTCAGATAAAATAAATATCAATGCATATTTCTAAAATAAAACACTGAGGGCAACTTCTACATGCCAAACAACAGACGTCTGAACTTCAAAGTGACAGACATAAAAAAAAAATAATCAATGATTCTGAGTGGAATGGAAACAGTTCCTGGGTATCATTCAAGGATATAAATTATCATCTGTGCTGATACAAATGTCTTTACAGATACAGGATTAATCAAACATGCACATTCTAATAGAGTTGTTACATGATTTTTAAGAAAATTAATGATAAGGATATCAATAATAATTTTGTTTTATTTTAATGTTATGAGCGACGAACAATTTGAGACTCACTGAGTTCTGTCTATTTATTTAAGACTTAAAAATACAGCCTCAAACCCTGACAACTGCTTACAAGAGCTTACAGAAAATCCTGTGTCAAGAGTGTACTTCTTATAAGGATGAACATTACATAATTATTTACTTTTATCCCACTCCATTGGAAAGATAATGTAGCTTTGACTCTGCCTAGCTCAATGAAAACAGCAGTATTCTTCACTAATATTCTCAAATCTCTTTTTAGATATTCATTATAATTGTAGCAGGTTTTTTTTTTTTTTTTACATGCTATTAATAAAAATATAGAAACTGACAGGCCAACCGGGAGTCACATGTCAAAATTTTAATAGAAAAACAAAAACTTGAACAAAACATTCATAGCTTGTCACATGATCACAAACTGTAAACAACATCTATTGAAGAAAAACATTCACTATGTATGTGTATGTTGGAATAAAAGACAACACTGGTTCAATGTAAATAAAAATTGATTCTAGGATTTTTAGGTTCAAATAAACTGTAAACACGAAAACTTTTTCCCAACTTGAAATTTTTTTTAAAAATGTGTGTAATAAATCAAATTAATCGTGCTAACAAAAAAAAAATGGCCATGTGAATAAAACAACACATGTCTTCTCAGAACAATTGGAATCCTTGACAACATATTTTTTTTACAATTGGGCTCCACTTTCCACAGCTGAAAATTTTGTTTATTGTGTGAAATGGCATAAAATCACTGGATTGAGAACTAATGTATGGGTTTATTCACACTTGGGGGCTGTCCATAAAGTACATCACGCTCCGGGGGGGGGNGTTAAAGATCTTGTGAGATATCAAGCATTTTATCCTTTTTTTTTTTTAGCATAAAAATAAACCCTGAAATTGACAGTGATGTTTTACCTTCTGTCATGTTTTACCTTCTGTCATGGCAGACTTATTCTGACAGAAAAGTTCAAATTCATACATTGAATAGTAAGTGCGTTTTTGCTAAAAAGTAGTGTGACATACTTTATTGATAGCCCCATCCATAGCCTGCAAAACTATAAGGAAAAAAAAAGAGCAAACAAAATTCTACTGGGCTCTTGTAGTGCCTATGCTAAAAAAAAAGTTATGATTAAATTAACAATAACAAAAACTGGGGCCCATGTAAACAGACACATAACAAAATAAGCACATGAATCCAGAAAGGTCAGGGTTTTGTACCTGTACAAAGTAGTAGAAAATAAGTAAAGGCACAATACAGGTGAGGAACATCGGGGTGGAGATGGTGATGACCAGAAGTGTGGAAAATGTCTGGAAGACACACATCAAGAACATGCCCACTATCATGGGGATGACGGTGTCAAGTGTGTCCACATCCTTGCTGAAACGGTTGACGATACGTCCGGAGGGTGTAGTGTCAAAGAAGCTCATCGGGCTACGTACAACATTAGCTAAAAGTCCACTGTGTAGGATCTTGGTGGCCTGCACCCCACCAAGCAAGCGCATCAATGCCGTAATGAAGACAAAGATACCTATAGGGTTAGTGGGTAAATGGTCATTGCACAGACTCCAATCATGAGCACTGGATTTTCATCAAATGTTGTCAACAGAACATAACACTTGAAAATGAAACATTCATTATGCGACTGTATAATAATAATTAAAAAAATATGAAATGATGTTAATAGTCGCCCGAAGCAGGGAATATAAAGATGAGAAAATACGGTAAGAAAGTCATGAAATCAGCATAAAATTTATATTGTAAAATTCAACATAAATACCATCACAAAAATAAACCACTGAATTTTGATACTTTCTTGCATGTGTCCCCCCACTGGTAACATTAATGCCTCTGATAAATTGTTTATAATAAGATTTCTGTAGCAGTTGAAAAAACTTTTCACCAGTAGAGTGAAAGCTTCAATTTGTTTTTAAAAAAAAATTTCTATAAATACCAACCTCTGCTGACACCATTTATAGTTAGACCTAAAAAGCTTGCATGAATAATGATAAATTACCCCTTAAAACACAGTTTAGATTTGAAAGAGCAAATGACCACCACACTGGTACTTAGATATCCATTTAAATTATACAAGAATGTGTATAAAATATAGTTTAAAAATTGTCAATTGTAATGATGCGTGGTGCATTGTGGGGGAAAGAGAGGGGGGTTAACTCAGTGAAGCAGGCCTGCACACCTCAAAATGTAAGGCAACCGTAATGCTTTATGCAAAACTTGTGCGGGCCAAAGGAAAAAAGGACGGGGGAAACTATTAAGAAAATACTAATAATTACGAATATTTCATTACTTCGCGGGCCGCAAAGTGGGTGCTGGTGGGCGTGCGGCCCGCGGGCCGTCTGTTGTGCAGGCCTGCAGTGAAGGAAAGGTGAAGTGTTGGATAAAGGAGTTAATAAATATTGGATGAAATAAAGTAGTAAAATGTTTTCCAAAGAAGCTATAAATATGTTTTGAACTATGTTATACTGTTGTACAATTAGAAATTGTATAGAACTATTGGTAACTGATTAGCTATGTTGCCTTCAAGTTACATTATTATAGTTATCCACGTAATTTTGTGCTTGTTACTTTTGTCATTAAACTGATAATGAAAATCATTATTTTTTTTTAAGCGCCATATCAACCAGAAAAGTTTTACGTTATGCTGAAATGAATTTTTTCTAAATTTGCATGGAATAATGTGTCATTTTAAAGGCAATCAGAAACCACAACTTTGCATGGAACAAGATGTCATTTTAAGGCAATTGGAAATTACAACACTTAGCAGGCTGTGAGGTAACAAACAAGAAATGAAAGATGAGAACCATTGTAAGCATGAACCAATGTCGCCAGAGAAAAGCTTATATTATTAGATTTGCCTTATTCTAGTCAACAGTTGGTTCACACCCAACACTTGCATTCATCCTTTAATTTCATTGGGTATAAGGGAGATAACATCTACCAGAGTAATCATAAATTTACCAGTGACATGCCTAGAGCAGGGACATGGTCACCTGCCGACTCTTGTCAATTTAATTTGTATCTACCTGCACGGCCCAGTAAATTAGGCCAATGAAGGGCAGGGTTACCAGCGCCCATGGTGTGCTGTAAGCGATGACAAAAGCTGTGCCTGCAGCTGACATGAAGCCCATGAGATACGAGCGCACACTGAAATGGACCACATAGTCCAGCTCGGCCATGTCGTCCGAACACAGGTTCAAGATGACACCAGGTGCACGCCCCTCAAAAAAACTGAGTGGACTTCTCAGCAGGCTGGCCAGAAAATGAGCAAAGATTGAGCGAGATGCTGCGAGCCCACCGATGGCTGTGACAAAAGCACAGATCATGACAAGGGCACCTGTGGTCACAAAGGAGAAGCATTTGCGAGAGATGTGTTGAACAACTATTTAAATATTTAGTGAAACACTGTTCGGATAAGATTTTTTTCATTGATTTCATTAAAAAACTTCTAAAATAAATCAGTTCTTATAATAATTATGTAAAGAAATGCATTAATAAATGAACCCTTAAATTTAAAAAAAAAACGTAAAACGAGAATATTGGATTATGAAATGATTTAGAGAAATAATTTTCCAGGGATTGAAATCAAGAAACATGCCCCTTAGCAGTGAAAAGAGAGTGATGGATCATGAAATGATTTAGAGAAATAAAAAATTTCTGGGATTGAATTCAAGCAACACATGTCCCTTAAAACTGTTTTTTTTTTTTAAAATACAAAGCTTGGAAAGACTATATCAACTGATTTTTTTTTTTTTATCAATGTGTCTTAAACTTTTTATGATTTATAAGAGGACTGCAAGCTGATTTTAATGATATGCAAAAAGACTTGAATAATGGTACACTATATTTGAAACATTTAATGATTCTCGACACGTTTGCCGGTTGAGTACTTTTAAAATAGCGTAATATCTCAAGTATGATACACTTGTGTATTGTAAATATCCCATTTTTGGGGAAAAATATAGATTCTGAAAAATATTAAGTTCTAATTTTTAATCAATCATTTAAAATCTGATGTAAAGCACTGCCTATTTTTCAACTCCTATTAGATTTAACTACATCATGTGGTAGGCCCAAATTATTGTTTCTTATTATTTATTCTCTGTTATACAGTAGCTTTCTAGGCCTACCATATTATTTTAAACAATATAATATTCACCCAATAGCTGTGGGATCAATTTTAGTTAACTAATAATAATAATCAACTTATACTAATTAACTAATACAAAATTTTTTGATTGTATACATAATTAGGGCTGAGCCAGGTGCAGTTTTTGTTCAGGTACCAGGTCAGCACTTGGCTCATCCCTATTTATAATACCCTAATACCTGTTCCTAGGTTAACAGAATAGGTACAAAATATTCAAATTATACTTGAGATTTTACAGCTGATACATTTAGCTCCTGAAAGTGAAACTGCAAAATCTGCACTATAGAAGTAAAAAGCTTAATTTATAAATTTACATTACTGTAAGTCTATGAAAAGGAACTGTATATTTTAGGTTGATGGATGTAACAGTAAGGAATCTAGCCAAGCATGTATAGTTCAAACAAAAAATTTCACCTGCACTAAGAAATAAATGACAGTCATTGGTGTCAGAGTGACAAGGAACCACGGAGTTCCTAAGCCAATCACTATAGGAATTCCGATAACCACCAAGACTGAATGTAGCCAAGAGTGCAAGAACTGGGGGAGGGAAATCTCAAGCACATTCAGATCTGAGCCCAGGCGATTTAAAATTCTTCCCTGTGGAGTGCTCTCGAAAAACTCTAGGGGTGAAGCAAGAATTGTGGACAGCATCTTCCTGTGAAATGTGTCCCCAGCGAGGATACACGCAAATCTGATTCCAGTAATGGCACAAATCATTCCAATGCCTGTTTTATGTAGTTATAAATGAACTATTACATGAAAGAGTGATGGTTAGATTAAGAGTGGATTAAAGTACAGCAGGGGATCTCAAAGCAAAAAGCCTTGTAATGGCTAACTGTTGGGTGTGAGATGTGAATCTCTGTTTCACATACTTTTATTTATTGACATTTTTCTCTGTAAAAACTAGGAAGCCAAGTAAACCATAATATTTAATATTAACTAAAAGATTCTCAAATCTGTTTCTTGGCAGTGATGTGTGTAAGATATCAATAATGGGGCTCTAATGGTGATTTAAGTTTGAGATCCTTGAAAGAAAGACCGGCTGCTAGTGAATTCTAGTCAGTTTCACTTTGGGTAAGTAGAAGTTATGTTGAGACTGAGTTGTTAACTCATGAACAGACAAGTCCATTAGGGCCAAAAGTAAATTAGCGTAATTCAGATGATGTCTATAAAACTAACAGGATCGTCATTACATGCATGACAGAAGGGCTCAAAATATAACATTTCTTCTCAAAATCAGTGCAAAATCACACCCCCCCCCCCCCCCCGCTCAACCTTGTGTTATTATAATCCTGGGATATAATAAGAAATTATTCTTTTAAAAATTCACCAGAATTCACACAAAGATTGAACAGGGGTGCCAAGAGATCTCTGATAACTTTGAGAAGAACTGTCATGCAATTAAGAAAAATAATGAACATGAAACTAAATGCTGCCATATTAAGAAAAAGACCTCTTCTGATTTAGATTTTCTTTTTAAAAGGCTGCAAAACATTTTTAACATGCATATTGGTAAAATAAAAAATCTAGTTAACGAAAGTCAGTCGGTAAATATATTTGTAACAGACACTTGGGGTATTAAATCATAATATAATGGAATAAATAAATAGATTCTGAAAAAAATTATGAAAAAATGTCTGAGATTATTGAGATTGTGTACAAAAACAAGCTGAATGTTAGATAATGGTTCTTGAACATTTTAATTTTTTTCAGACAACTTAAAATAAAACTTACTCCTGCTGACTGAGTAATAATCATTTACTTCTCTATCATAAATCTGTTTTACATCTACAGATGTTATTACCGTAGGTCAACCCCAGGAACAGCACAATGCGGTCGCGTCAATCTTAAGCAACACCAACCTTGTAAAACACCAAGTGCGCCATACACCCCTAGCCTCATGTTTCTCTGATCTTCATCTGCTGAAATATTTGGATTTCTTGCATCATTGCTCCACTGACTGAGCCAAATATTTGAGTAGATGCTGGCAGAGTTGTAGAGTATGTAGAAGAACAAGATGAGGACACTGAGGAAGGCTCCTACAGCCCTGACGTAGGCCATGAACACTGTCATTTTTACCTGAAAGCAATGAGAAATAATTATGTTGATGTATAGATAAGCTGGCATCACGTTAAAAATAGTCTCTTTGGACCATCTTAAATTTGCTCAAATTTTGACGTTGAAATGTTTAAAAAATTTTCCTTGGAGTTTAAATAAAGTTATTTATACTTATAATCCAATGAATACAATAATTTTTTCCTTATAATTTAAATAAAGCTATTTATACTAATAATCCAATGAATACAATAATTTTGAGCTGAACATAAATAGTCTCACAAATCTAAAGGTATACACAATTCAAATGCAATTTATTTTTAACGTAAATTTTATGTAAAAAAACAACAACATTTTCTTCTTAATTAAAAGAGAAATGTTTTAAAATAGCAACAATATGTTCATATGAGACAGTCAAGATTAAGTTTTTCCTCACCCTTCCTGTCTCAGCCGTTTCAGCCTGCACCAACTTATCTCCCTTTTTCTCTGTGGGTTCTTCTGGCAGGAGTTTCTTCTCTTCATCATTTTCAATAATGTCTGACTTATCATGCCTCTTACTTGATGGAGATGTCATGGTTGTGGGGAGAGATGTGTTGCTGCCTTTGGATACTTCTGTGTCTGATCGGATACGCTCACTGATTTTCGACACCTGTCTGGAGTTGAATAAATTAAATTTATGGTCAATTCTATTATTGTGCACTCCGCAGCAAAAATGACAGAATTTAATGTAGATCATTTTAAATTAGATTCTGATTCAAAGTTCAAACAGGCCCCCACATATTTTGTCTACTCTTTGTTATTAAATTACTTTTGTATCTCAGTGACATTAGTGTCAAAAATATTTTCTACAGCTTCAAAAATATGTCAATAAAAAATGACATGCTGCACTTACAGGAAATAAAATGGGATTACATATAACAATCAGCACACACAATTCTTGGAAGGCCAGTCACCTCGGCAACCAAAAATTAATCTCAGATGAAAGATTTTGTTCATTGTTAACAACAATGAACATTTGTTTGCTTTACCATTAGTTACAATCAATCATTGTATTTACATCTAGAATTTTTTTCATTAGTAATCACTGATTGTAAGTATCTGTAGTGTTTAAAAAAAAAATATAATCAATAATTGCATGAATAAGCCTGGTGTTAGCAATCAATCACTGTAAGTATGTGTAGTGTTTTTTTTTCATATGCAATAAGTGATAATAAGGATATGCAGCTTACCTCTGTAAAGCACTTGTATCATCTATCATAGATTCTATCTGTGACATGATTTCTTCTCTCTTGCTCAGCACTGTGTAAATAAAGATACAAAATATATCAATAATTAGCAAGTGACAATGGGCAGATCAATACTTGAAATACCATTTTAATATTTTTCAAAGTTATTAAAGATTTATATGCTGACAACTAGCCAGAGGCTCCAACTAAATCTGCTATAAGCCAATTTGTCCTTTTTTTAATGCATTTTTCTTTCTAGTGCTGCATTTAAAAAACTTAATGACAAAGATGCTTTACATTGGCCATTGTTTAATCATCTTTAAAATATAGGTGTTAGGTAAACTTTACTTTACTCTTATGTAAATAGCTATTGAGTTGAGTAGGGTGGTGAAATTGTAGCATTAACAAATTTAAAATAAATGTAAACACAAAAGAATAGAAAAATAGCTTCCAGGTTGTTTTTTTAAAGTTTTTGTCAATGTTTGGTGAATATATTGATACATAAAAACTAAATTAAACTCTATGACGATTTACTAGATTATTATCATTTTAATTACCATTAATCTAATACCATTAGTAGGGAAGCCTAGGACTAAGAAAAGTGGACAGTGAGGGAGATTTAACAGACTAACTTTTTTTAATACTAAATATTTTAATTAATTCATTTTAAAGTCCTGTTACGCTGATGTCCCATACTGAATATTTATTAAAAGCAATATTTATCTTAAATTTTTTAACTTTTAAGGGATTATTTTAAAATTTTCCTCAACTTGCATATTAGGATTGTTAATTTGCTTTTAACAAACCTAAGAGAAATTCTTCAAAATATTTCTTAATATTAAAATAGTTTATACTTTTAAAGAAAACATGCTAAAAAAATCTTGGATCACAAAACGGGTGAAATCAGAGATGTGGGAGGGGGACAAACGGAACAGATTATATATTACTGATTGCATGAACCCATTAATTCCTAGTGCACATGGTTTGAAAGTTATTTTGTTTCCTAATAAAACCATATATTTAATTGTGTTATTATGATAATAAAAGCAATGTTACTAAAAGTGTAAAATGTATATAAGAGTTATATAAATAAAATATTGGATTAGACTATCATTTTCAGATTAATTTCCCAGAAAGGAAAAGAGATACATTACTATAATAAACATTTTATTAAGAAGAAATAGTGACAAATTCCTGAACAGCATGACACCTAATCAACTGAATGCGCTTCCAGCAATCTGAAGAATTAACTTAATGACACAGCAATTAATTATTTTTATCATAACGACCTGCCTAGTAGCTCTGACTGAAGTGGACCTAATGGCTTTTGTGCACCTAAAGAAATGTGTAAAAGTTTGAAATGAGCACTGTGAAATAAAGACAAGCTATGATTCCCTGTTCCCCACATGCAAGCAGAGATCGCCACCAATCCTAATAATTTTATAAGCATTCTCTTGGTTATGAGGTAAAATGTGGATTTAATAAAGTTCACATCATCTCTACTTTTACATCCTTGTTTTTTTGTTGTTTTTTTTTTTTGGGGGGGGGCTTTTTTACAACATGATTCTCTTTTAGCAATGGATAAAAAGTCCTGAAAATCCACAATTCCTATTAATATACTGAGTTTATAAAACCTTTCTATAAAATACAATTTCACATACAGAAAGGTAATCTTTTTAATTGATGTTTTTATTATTTAAACATTGCTTCTAAATGTTTCAGACAAGAATAATGAAAAGCTATACAAGTGCAAACCAACAGAAGTTATGGGCTTTAAAAGATGTACATAAAGTCAACTTTGAGTGAGTTATGATTAAAAAGATATCCAATAAAAAAATGTTTCAAAATTTAACGGTTATTTTTTCAATAATTAATACTAATTTTTCATATTGCTATACAATAAATGCTGCACTAACAGTTTGACTTAGTACAACCTTCCATTGATTCACTTACAATATTAGCAAAACATTACAGGTCATTAAGGTAGGATAAGTTTAAAAAAAAAAAGAAGGTAAAAACCCTTGTTTTGTTCATGCAATCTTACCATCGTTATCAGAGTTGGAATAGCCTAAAAACAAAATAATATTTACACCTTTCCTACATCAAATTAAAAACATTAAATGCTACCAAAAGCAAGTGAATTTATATTGGTTGTTGAAAAAAAAATATTTTTGAAGATTCTCATTCACATCTGAATAAGAATTAAGCAGCCTTAAAGGGAAATGAAACTGATTTTTTTATTTTTTTTATTTTAGGTGGTATAATTGCATATCTGCCATCTGCCTAAAAAAAGTACCACATAAGTTTAACAACTTTAAAAGCATTTTTATCATCTCCATGTAAATATTTTCTAGGGGCAAACTCTGCATGCATTTATTATTACTTAACATAACCTTTTCAGCTGCTTCAGAAAAAAATATAATAAGCAATACAAAATCATACAAATTTTACAAAATGAATTTATAAAAAAAAAAAAAGAAAAGAAAGAAACCATAAGTCAATAAAATACCTGTTTAATATGCCATTTGTATTTCAAATTTCACCAGATATTTTGTCACTATTTAATGTTGTTCCTTAAATTATAATTGCTTATTATTTTCTCACTTTTTTTTTTTTTTTCCTTTTTTTTTAAACATCCATTTCATTCAATTACAGGATATTGTAAACCATTATGCATTATTGGAATTATTTAATTAAAAAACTCATTTGAAATCAGTTGGAGCAGTCATTCTCTAGAAATACTTCTAATTATTTGTAATAGACTGATGAAAATATTACACAATCTTTAATGTGTTGTTTACATGTTTAAGATATTTTAGTCAGCAAATGAAGGAATCAATTTTCAATCGGATGTAATAAACTTAATCCTAAAATAATGTCAAGTGAACATTGAGTTTTAAATTGGTTTCCACTAATTTCATCCATGAACTAATTTTTGTTACTATGACAATATGTAGTAGCAACAATGTGTGTAATTTTGACAACACCAAAGTTAAATTTTGACAACACCAAAGTTATCTATAGCACCTACCATCAATGTCTTCGGCAACACTGTTTTCATCTTTCAGTTCCTCGGTCAAGTAGTTGCGTAAAAACTCTGCAAATGCCCCATTGCGTTTCATCAGTTCTGCAAAAGATCCTACTTCTGAGACCTGACCCTTCACAAGTACAATAATTTTATCAACCTGTGGCAAGAATCCTATGCCATGAGTTACTAGGATTCTGGTCTGCAAATAATGAAAGAAACATTTTTTAATGCATAGAAAAACTAAATTCAAAATATAACAATCTTTTTTAATAACTATTGCAATTTAAATTTATTTTTAATACAACAGTCACATAACCTGGTTTTAATAAGTCAACTAAAACATTAATTTTTAATATAGGTGAATATCATATTTTAATTGTTAAGAGAGTGAAACTTTTGTAAGAAATATAACTGTACCTTTCCTTTGAGCATTCCTGAAGGTCCAATAACCTCATCAAACAAATGTTTCCCAACATGTGAGTCCACTGCTGACAGCGGATCATCCAAGAAGTAAACATCAGTGTCTTGGTACACAGCTCTGGCCAATGCCACACGTTGCTTCTGTCCTCCAGATAAATTAATGCCCTGTGGAGGTAGAAATGAAAATACCCGGTGGCATAATCTAAATCTAAAGCATTCATTTAAAAATTTTGAATATAACTGGTCCTAAAATCAGTGCAAACAGTAATGGGAAAAAAAACATCAACAAGGATTGAGGAAATTATACTTCATAAGTAGTATATTTGGAGTGTCGTATATGAGAGCTCAACACTTCATTAGTCCCTTTGTAAGGCTGCATTACTCCTGGTTTGAGAGTTCTTGTAGAAAAAAAATATTTGATCTTTTTCAAACAATACAATGAATATCTGTGGTTTGCATTATAGAAAATTATGATTTACTATTTGAATAAATTTGATTCATATGACAAGAAACATTTTGTTTTGTTCCCAAGGATTTTCATCCAGATTCAAGATGACATGTAGATGAATATTCAACAAATATTTAAATTAACAAACATACTATTTTATTTTGCATTGTTTTAATGATCATACGAGATATCTTTTTCAAATCAAAACTGCATTCAAGAGAAAACAAAGCCCTTTTTTTTTATTTTTAGTGAAAACATACAACTATAATGTACTCAGTGGTGGCCTTAGCCTCAAACAGAGCTTTTCAAGGCATCCTTTAAACTAAATTGGCAATAGAAAAGTTATATCTCTTTTAGTACAAAATATAAAATTTTGTTGCCACATCTCAAACCACACCCCTCACTTTTTTTTTAAGCAGCTGGTGCCACCATATTTGTCAGCCCCGTCCTATGCCATGATATTAAATCCCCCCCCCCCCCCCCCCCCCATATCAGTCACACATTTTCAAGTTTGAGATAACACAATGTTGGAGCTTCTGCTCTATGACAAATTACCTTTTCTCCAATTTCAGTTAGATCTCCTGCAGGCAATATCTCTAAATCTGTAGTTAGAGCACAAGCCTTTACCACAGAATCATAATAGGTTTGATCCAGAGGTTTGTTGAAGAGTATGTTGTCTTTAACTGTGGCGTTCTGAATCCAAGCCTGCTGGGCGACGTAGGATACTGAGCCCTGAGGAAATTATACTTCACAAGTAATATATTTGTGGTGTAACATATTCAAGCTCAAAAGTTCATTAGTACCCTTTTAAGGTTGCATTATTCCTGGTTTGAGAGTTCTTGAAGAAAAAATATTTGATCTTTTTCAAACAATATAGTGAATATTTGTGGTTTGCAATATTTACAATTATGATTTGCCATGTAAATTAATTTGACAATTACAATTTTTTTCTAATGAAAACAAATATCATTTTGTTCTTTCTGCCCACATTAGCATTTATCTGCATAATTCCTTATATTTTACAAACAACACTTAACAATGTTACTGATAACACACCTTGACCGACACATGGCCGCTTGTCTTCTCCAATTCACCCAGCAAAGCTGCCAGCAAGGAAGATTTTCCAGCCCCCACAGCACCAACTACAGCCACTAACTCTCCTTCTTCCACTTTCATGTTTATGCTTAAATACAAAAGTACAATTTTAAAGATGGCATTTCTTGTTCAAATACTCCAACCGAATAAAAATCAAAGAGGTATCCACATTTATTTATACATAAACAGGTAAATTAATAATAATCAAATTATTGTTGCTGCTGTAAAAAAAAAGATGTGTGCATACTCTGTTAATGTAATATTTCCTTCTTCCCAGGAAAAACTGGCATCCTCCAGCCTGACTGCCAGCCCATCTGAAATTATAAGAAAAAAAACTTAATTGAGTGGCAATCAATGTTATTTTTAAGCACTCAATTTATTTGGTGTAACAAAAAGTTCAAATAATAAAGAAATCACTTTGCTCACAAAAATGAGCCAACAATAAATAGCTGACCTTCTGTGTCTTGCTTGTCAATGCAGTAAGGATCAAGTTCAGGGTGGTTCAAGAAATTCTGAATCCTCTTAAGTGAAACATTAGCCTGTAAAAAAAAAAAATATTTTTTTAAGAGAAAGAAAACTATTCTCCCTATCCTTGAGCTTTTTCCATTATAACTATCATAAAACAAGTATTGCATCGTGTTACCTTTTATCATATATGATTGTAACCTATCAATGTTTTTAACATTTAAAAAAAAAGACAGTTATATTTTATTAATGACTTGGTAACATGCGTTTTTTGGAGAATCAGAATGATAGGTTTTGAAATTTAGTTACTGAGTCCTCACCTGTACGATGTTGGTTATGACATTGGGCACCATGGAAAGTGGAAATCTTAGAATGTTGAATAGTGCTAGGGACACAAAAGCTTTTTCTGCATCTAAGATGTTATCAGGTGATGATAAAACATATACTGCAAATGTTGACAGAGACACCTGAGAGAATAAACATACAAAAAATAACTTTGGCATTTAACATTTAAATGTTTTATAACACTATATGAAAATTAAATGGAAAATAAAATTAAATATTGAGTCAACCTGATTCATATAAATTCATCCATGCAAACTCTGATCGAATAGAGTGTGTAACTGACACAAATAATCACATTTCTGCTGACCAAAGATGTGCTCAAATGGGGTTTACTTACAAGTACAGGTGCACATGTCCAGAAGAATGAGCTTAGGGCATTAAGATAAGCTGCCTTTTTTAAGACTCTCAGCTCCTCATTTCGAATTTTGAGAACCTTGTCTTGAAATGAGCCTTCCCATGCATATAGTTTCAACACCTTATTTACCAGAAAAAATATGTTTAAGATGTTTAAAGGAATCACTTTAAACACTTTTTAATGGCATCAAATCACAAAAATATAAAGATTTGTATTATTTATTTTTCTGTTACTTATGTTATTTTGGCCAAAAAAATCCTTATGATTAAGGAAAAATCCAAGGAAAATTACAACTTTGAGATGCAATCATTAGCAGAAGATAGCTCAATTAAAAAAAGCAATTACCTTGATTCCATTCAAAATTTCATTCATGAGCTTTATTCTGTTGTCTTTCAATCTCATTTGAGAAACCTGAAGAATAATGCAAACAAAGAGATATTTTAAACACATCTATATAAATGGAATTACCATGAAAACGTAACCTATACCTAGATTACCCTCACACTTTTCTTTGTTTCAAGTGTGGACTAGCATTTTATTGATAGATTTTTAAGAGTTTATGTGGCCAATGTTTCCTACTGCCTGGTTCTTACCTGATATTGCCTTGACTTATTAGCCAGGACAGCATTCAGTGGTATCAACAGAACCATCACACCTACACCTGCAAGGGCCGAAGGTCCCAGTGTTTGAAACAAAAAGTACAGGGCCACACAGATTTGGAAAGGACCTGACCAGATGGTGTGCAGGTAGGTTGTAAGGTCCATGAAGCGCTGGGCATCCACTGACATGAGGTTGACAATCTCTCCAACAGTAGAGGATCGTTTGGCAGTGTTGGACAATCTTAATGTCTGGAGACAAACATAGTGGTCACTTATTAGCTATTATTCATTTCTGTTTTTAGTTTCCTACATTAATATACATAACTAGCTATAGCCAGCCAAATAATGGCAAACGCAATGTGTGAACTTTCCATCATCTTCAGCTACTTGACAAAACATGCTTTCAAATAACACACTTTATAAAATTCCTAATTAGTGCGACCACCCACAAAAATTTTTTTTTATTTAAGCAAAATTTTTGAGGTGCTCCTACTTTTATTTTGAAATACTTGTTTAAAACCATATATATATGCACACACAGAAACTCAAATAGCAATATATTTAGAATTTTAAAGAACACTTAAGTTTAAATGATATTTTGTTTGGTTTAATTAGGTTCTATTACTATAGTCAGTGATACTATTAACTGGTTAACTACCATGAGACACTGGGAGTGGATTGGCATCTCTTTCGTTATGGCCAAGAGCCGCTGCAGTTTGTTTAGTAGTATATCAAGTAAAATCTTATATTATTCCGTTCCCATTCTCGTTGGGCATCGTTGAGGTTTTAATTTACAGACACATTTACACATTAATAATTTCCTACCAAAACTTAAATGTAAAAATGTTTTATGTTTATCTTATAGACAATTCATTTTCCTACACAATGGTTTATTACTCATTAGAATATGTTAAGAATTAAAAAAACTGCAACTGAATTTGTACATACAGTTTCAATGAGAAATTGTGACCTAAATTTAATCTGGCCACAGCCTGATTTTCGATCTCGTAGTTATTCAATTAACACATTTCTGTTTTAATAAGAACAGAAGGCATAACCAGTGGACTTTATGATAAAGACAATACTTCAGACTTACTTTTTTGTAGATGACAGCAATGATGGTGGATCTGAGCCTCATTCCCAGGATGAATGTTGCATGGAAGTACTGGTGAAGCAAGACTGACTGCAGCAAGGCAATAAGTAAAAGCATCGAGGCGTAGAAGAACCCACGCCACATGTGTTCATCAGAACTTGTGAACTGAATTAGTAACCTCAAAACATGTAAAGAAAAAAATGTATTAAAATCATTTTTAAATTGGTTAATGTACGATCAATGTAGAAGCTTATATTATGTTGTGAGTAAATTAATTCTGAATTATGGTTTGTATAAAAATATTTCTTCATGTAAATTTAAAAGAAGAAATATACATTTGAAACACACAAAGCAGAAATGTTATAATAAAAATTAGGTGCTGACATTTATGGGTCGGTAACACTTTTGTTTCGCTTGACAGAAAAGCTAATCCTGACATTTTCTTTAATAAGATGGTACGATCCTTTATTAAAAGGTGTAAATCCTTTAGATCTAATCAATCCTATTTTAAATAAATACATATCATGTTACTTACTTGAGCAGCTGTGGACTAACAAACACAAGGATATCATAAATAAGTTTGTAAATTGCTGCCAGTAGGAAAAACCAAATGTAAGTTCTGACCAAAGCATGAAACAAGCTGCGTTTTGGTTTTTGCGACTCTTCAAATCCAACCCCATAAGGCACAAGAATAGCGCTGCCTTCTTTGTACATGAAGCTAGTCTCATGGACATCCCCATTGGCTACAGGAGTGTGGATGCTTTGGAAAGTAAATGTTAAAACAAAACTTAATGTTTCAGGATTGGAGGATCAAAGTCTCAACAACATCTGCCTGATTCTGCACTCTAAAATACAAAAGCTAATATGCTTTAAATGTAGGAAATGGAATAAGATAATACTATTCTTTTATTGATTCAAATAAAAGGAAATATTTTTTTTATTCCAAAGTACATATTCATTTTCAGCGCACGGATACATATTCTTACAAAGGCAAACATTTTTAAATTAGAACAATTTAACACAAGTGATCTAAAGTATTTCTCAAGTCAAAAACCAGCCGCCATATGCCATGGAACTAACAACATTGACTTTAAGAGGGATTATTTAGATTTTGTAACAGCTGGCAGAGCACGCAGGTCAATTCCGATAGATTGGGGAACAAATACATTTTTATAACTTTTTGTCATTATTTGAGAGAAAGAATTCACCCTGATCGACTGATCTTACGTAAGTGGATGAAGAGGGTGGGATGTTTCCACCACAATTTTTTTAGTTTTACAAATGCATATCGCTTCAAATAGTTCTTTAAGTGAAGATGGTTTTAATTGAGTGAAATCACTTGCTTTCTCGATAATTATAATGGTACAAAGTCATAAAGTTGAGCGACAAAGAATATAAATCAGTTAGGACCAAAGAAAAAAAAAATATTAAGTGTCTTAGTTGCAGCAATAGGCATTGTTTTACAGGTACTGCAGATAACCATACCTTTTATTAACGGTGGTTCGAATTTGAGAAAACTTACATTTCTTTTGTCCCATTCCATTTTCTGTAAAAGGCATTAGCCACATACTCAGTGGTGTCTTCCTTGTTGAGTGACCATAAATCTGTCTGGACCAAAGCCCTCTTATAGCCCTGAACAACCATTCTATGAATATTGGAGCAAACAATATTATTCGTGAAATTCTTATCACAGGTTTATACTGACCTTTCTCATATCTTAAGCACATACTAAAAAAAAATGGATTACCCCAAATTTTTAGGGGTCAGTTAATTTTTTCAATTCCTCAGGGTTCCTTTCCCAAGGACAATAATGATAATCCTTGATATTTAAAGATCCCATTGGTTACTTAGTGTTATGCCAATTTTAAAGTGACAAGTATTATGTTGCCCTATCACCACATGACCTTAGATTCAATGTATATTTCATTCTATGTTTAGAACATTTTAACCAAGCGGGCAATGTTAAAATAAATTTCCATGAAAAATAAAGGCATTCCGTAAGCTCCATTAAAATTCAGTAACCCTGTCTTATACTCCACATCATTGAAGCAAAATCATAACAATGGTACAACAGCAAAGTTATAACAACTTAAGGTTATTTCACAGCACAAAGAAAAACAGAAATCAGTGAGATTTCATAGAAACTACTTACCCAGTGAACCACCAGAAAGTCAGCTGTGATAGGAATGATGAGCTCTTCTCTGGACATGGATTCTTTTTTTAAAAATAATAATCATTACAATAAATAAATTAAAATATAACTGTGGATATAATAAATGGTTATGATATATTGTAGTTTGGTGGTAAAGCTGTGATTAGAGACCGACCGAAAGTGATTTTTTCTGATTTCGGCCGAAGCGGAAAATAGGCCGAAAGTTTAAAAATGACTTTCGGCCGAAACCGAAAAAACGCCGAAAGTTAAAAATGAATTTTGGCCGAAACCGAAAATGAAATATTAAGATATTTTGAAATTTGTTCCCGCATACATCCTGCATTCATCGAAAATGATGTGGGAAAGTATAAATATTTACATTCTTTTTATAACAAATGAGATAATCGTGAATATTAATAAATAAACATCTAATATAGGGGTCTCAAACTCGCGGCCCGCGAGCCATTTGTGACCCGCAAGACGATATTTTGCGGCCCTCTACATGACAGAAAAGTTTAGTGTTAATGCACGGCCTGTTTCTCCCATTCTCATATCGATAATGTGACTCTCCGCGATGGTTTCAGTCGAATCTCACCGACTAGTCTTATTCTGATTTTTAAAAAAAAAATTTCTATATATTTTTGTATGCAACAGTGAGTAGGTGGATGAAAGTGAATCCTAGTTCTTGAGAACCCTTAATGATTTTATTGTTATTTATAAAGGTTGAGCAGATTGTAACAGTTGTAATCGCTTTTTTGTGGATACTTGATGCGGCCCACTCTCATTCATATTATTTCTTTAAACCGGGTCTCTAAAAATTGTTATTCTGATCTGGTTCTAAAAGATCGCTTAATTTTTTCTGAAAGGTCGCTTTATTTGTTTTTAAAGATGGTTTAGTTTGTTGTTAAAGATCGTTAGTTGCTTATATTGCTCGGTTAGTTTGTTCTTAAAGATCGGTGAGTTTGTTCATAAAGATCGCTTAGTTTGTTCGAAAAGTTCGCTTAGTTTGTTGTTAAAGATATTTTAGTTTGTTCTTAAAGATCGCTTAATTTTTTGTTAAAGATCATCCAGTTTTTGTTAATGATCGCTTTATTTGTTCTTAAAGATCGTTTAGTTTGTTCATAAAGATTGCTTCGTTTGTTGTTAAAGATCGCTTTTTTTTCATAAAGATCCCTTAATTTGTTCTTAAAGATAATTGATTTTTTTCCTTAAGATCGATTAGTTTGTTCTTAAAGATCTGTTAGTTTGTTCCTAAAGGGCATTTAGTTTTCTGTTAAAGATCGCTTAGTTTATTCTTATAAATCATTTAGTTTTCTATTAAAGATCATTTGTTTTGTTCTTAAAGATAATTTAGTTCGGTCTTAAAAATCGTTCAGTTTGTTCTTTAAGATCGTTTAGTTTGTTATTAAAGATCGCTTAGAATGTTCTTAAAGATCACTTAGTTTGTTTTAAAAATCGTTTAGTTTGTTCTTTAATGTCGCTTAGGTTGTTGTTAAATATCGTTAAGTTTGTTCGAAAAGGCCGCTAAATTTATTCTTAAATGTCGCTTAGTTTGTTGTTAAATATCGCTTTCGTTGAATATTAGATGACCGAAAACCTGAGTCACTTTCGGCTGAAAGTCTAAGTCAATTTCGTCCGAAACCGAAGAAAAACCGAAAGTTAACTTTTCTCTTTCGGCCGAAACTAAAACGAAAGTTAACTTTTCAGGTTTGGCCGAAACCGAAACTTGACCGAAAGTGATAAAATGGCCACTTTCGGCGCCGAAACCGAAATTCTGTCGGTCTCTAGCTGTGATACAGGTAATGTGAAGAAATGCCACTTTATTTATCTATAAATATTTAGATTCAACACTTTAATTTCAAAATATGTGGGCGCTCGTGCAAAGAGTGTTGTGATTTTTATTGTATTTAGTTTATTTAGGAAAATATCAATCCTACCTCATCTCCAGAAGAAATTGAACCTTCAGGTTTGGCATCCACAAACATAGACAGGATTAATGCAAATAGCACACATGGATAGTGGATGAATATTGAAGGTGAGACATAACCCTGTGAAATATTAAGTATGACTTAAAAGTAATGCTCTGAAAACTGCCTAAGACTTTTTAAAAAATTCTTAATTGAGCAATTATTTTTTTTTTGTTGTAGCTTTCCTTATGTTCCCCTTAAATCTTGAAGAAAATTATTAAAATGTAAATAAACAGTTCAGGTGGTTAACCTTTTATGGAGAAAACTATAAGTACATTTAATTTACAAATTGCACCTGTTAGTTAATCAATCCAAATAAATTTGTGATGTATTTTCATCATACAGTTGTGAAAAATATTTTATTAAAAAAAACAACACAAGATTGTACTTGAAAACCTGATTTCACAGATATGTATGACAATTAATTACAAGGTCATCATAAAAAATAAAATCTTACTTGACTTGTAGCAACCTTGATTACAGATCGTAGCCGAATTATCTCACAAATGAGATAAATAAACCAGAACAGAAACAACAGACCAGAAGTTCTGACACCGCGTGTTCTCTCTAATATTAATATTTTTAAGACCAGACACTGGAATAGATACAAATTTTTGTTTGTTAAATCTAACAAATGATAATGTAATTTTTATACATATTTTAATGTCTTGCTTAAACAAATGACAGGGTTGCTATGTGGTTAGGTATGTTGACACCAGGACATGACATAAATACTCGTGGACTGGAGTTCAAGCCATTCAAAAAAATCAACACAAGTCCACACATCTTTTGGTAGATGAGACCCTGTCTGGCATTGAACTCAATATCCTTTAAGATATTATTGCAAAGTTGCATTGATATGGAGAGGGTGAATCAGCTGCTTGAAAAAAACCAGTACATTTTCCACATAAAAGCTCACCCAGACTTCAAAGAGACTTCTAGAGACAAACAGCTGCCATAAAAAAGGAGTGCATTGCACATTGTTTAAAGCACTCCCAATTTGCATCATTTTATTTATATTATCACCACACAATTAGTATTAATTTTAAGATAAATATTACCTATTACCTTGAAATACATTTTTAATAGGCTCAGAATAATTACAACCAATGGCAATAATTTATTTTTCTGTTTTATTTCATAGAAAAAAACTATGGACCTTTTTAACCTTAACTGTTTTAGAAATAAACATTACCATGGTCAGCACCACGCACAAGGGAGACACAATGTCTATTATAGGCTTGCTGTCATCATTGGCTCTTTTGATGATGGCAATGATGCTTTCATAAGTTGCAAACAATATCAAAATACTAATCACAACCTAAAATAGACACAAATTAACATATTGTGATTGAGGAAACTAAAAAAATACTTTTAACAAGGATACTAGTTTTATTAAGGTTTCATAAGTAAAACTTAAGAACAAATTAACAAATCAATTCTAAATCAAAATAGAAACAATAAGTCAATCAAATTTGAATATAGTATAAATTGATTAAATTATCATTTTAAGAACTGGCCAATTTATTAACTAATTATAAGACCGTTGGACAGCGATAAAGTTTTAAAGTAGATTTATTAGACACAAACAATATGTGTAAATAAAAAAATATATGTTCAGCTTTAATGATGATTTTACAAAATACAAATGTAGATGTTTTGGCATGTATATATATATGTATATATAATTTAATTTATACTTTTATAAATGTTTTGTTTTTTTGCACAGAAGAAGGCATTTGCTGAAACATCTACATTTGTAATTAATACAATTTATAAACAGAACAGTACCACTTTCAAAGCACTAAGCCAGCTCCATTTAATGTAACGAATTCCTCGTCGCCACAAATAAAAAATCTTGAAAGGCGCAAAAAAGAACAGAAAGAAACATGGAATCAAGGCCAGTATTGACTTTTGAAAGCATGGTGTAAAGTCAGGGTCAGATGTGTTCCATGTTACATTAGTGTCCTGTAAAATAAACAAAGAAGCATTTTTAAAATAAAATAATCTTTCCTCTTACAGGGACTCACTAGGCTACACTATAACTCTATTATTATAAGATTACATGACAAGCCATAAAAGTATTGAAGGGTCGCAGCACTAGGTTGAGAACCATTGCATTAGTCTGTGTTTAGCACTCGGTCTCTGTTAGCGTATTATTTTGTGTGTGATCACCAGTTTTTACAAATTTTGTATTCAGGCAGTATTCGTAATTTTTTATGTGCAAAATGTAATAACCTATGCTAAAATGTCTTTAAAAAAAAAAACCACAAGAAGACAATCAAAAAAAGAAAAAATTACTGTTGAAATGAAACGTAAGATCATTGAAAATGCGAGAACAAGGTGTGAGCGGGGCTATTTGTGCTACAAATTTATTCAATGATAATGCTGTGACACATTTTCGTCAAATTTTGAAGCGTCTGCAAAAACAAATGTCTTTAGACAGTTTTCTAGTTAAAAAGGATTAATTGTCATAAATTCATATTTTTATTACCGTTTTTTGTTTCAAATCTAAATTGTGTTCCAAGTTGTTACACTCCTTAACAATTCATAGGCAATTTCATTTGAATAAATGTTAATAATTTTTTTGAAAAATTAGTATTTTTTCAGCATGTAACGCATTATCGTGTTTTACATTGATTTGTATGGGAAAAATTGTTTCTTTTAACGAGTGTTTAGCTTAACGAGTAAGAGTCTGGAACGAATTATACTCGTTATGAGAGGTTCCACTGTATTTGGGAAATTGGGTAAAAAGTATGGATAATTGCTATGAGGCTATGCATTCCTAACTTTTTGACATAAGGCGATAAGGTCAGATTGTAATATTTTATAGGATCATAGTAGCAGTTAAAAATTTTTTTTAAACGGGCAGTTCAACTCTCATTTTGATACGGTTTTCTACCAACATCTGATCCTTACCCCTAAGCGCTCCGCCTCATACTCCCAAGAGTTCACATAACATAGGTTGGGGACAGCTGCTAGTAGTTTAATTCATTAAAAGTCTTTTTTTTTAATTTAAATTGATTAAATTGTCAATATTTTCAAAAGGAAACTAATTACGGCACTCCTCAGAGCGGCGGTCCCAAATTAAAAATAGAATAATATTCATTAGCAAGTGTCCGGCTACCACCCTAATAGCCGCTGATAATTGGTGACTTAAGTGTATTCTTTTTTTTTTTTAAAGATCACGATCTTCATTAACCTCTTCATCATCATCATCTCCTAGAAAAAAAGAAAAGAAAAAAAATGCAAGAGAAAAACAAAAGTTATCTCTGTTGACTTACTGTTTTATTACATTAAACGGTGTTCAGCAAGCCACACTAACCAAAGCATACACAGTAGGTAGTGCCTTCTGCATTGTGTCATAGTCATAAGTTTTTATAATGAAAATAATGTTTCCTGACAAAAAATTATTTGAAATATGAACAACCCCTTGCGGTCTGCCGACCATGGTATTAGTATTGTTTATTGTATAATAATTTAAGTTATTAAAAGCAATAATTTACCTGCAAACAAAATTTGAAGTAAAAAAATTATGTCACCAATTATCAGCCCTAATGACAATCTGAAGAAGATACTAGTCTAACTAGTAAAGTAAAATCTAATAATTGGACTACTTTTTTTAAATTTATTAAATTAAATGATATTTTTTATTGACAATTGAATTGATTGAATTAGATTTTATAATAGAAATACGAAGTGGATGCGTACACCGCGGCGGTGTACCTAGCGAAACCATCGGCTTTGGCCTGCGTAAACCGCGGCGGTGTACCTAGTGAAATCGTGGGCTTTGGCCTGGTTTTAAGATAAGCTTGTTAGAGAAGATATTGTGTGGTCAAGTGGTAGAGTGGACGCTTGGCGATATTACATTTTGAGATCAATTCCCAGTAGGGGATCTAGCTTTTTTTCTTCCCATTTTAGTTTTAATATATTTTGTAGCAATTTGAACAATAAGTTATAATCAGATTATTAAGTGTTTCAGCAAGTTTTGCCAGCCTTTGACTTTGAAAATACCGGTAAATTTAGTAATGAGACATTTGAAAACAAACTGAAAGTTTCTGAAAGCACATGTATAGTTTATGTAACATGTATAAGAGAAACAATTTGAATACTAAGTGATATTCTATTGTATTTCAACATTCCTCGTGCAGTTGAATATTTACATTTCACTTTTACGAACACCCAAAGAAAATACCAGTATATCATTAATAGCATATGAATATTAATGTCATTTATGTGCATGGTCGTATTTCAACCATCTTGCTTTCACTATGCATTGGCAAAATGTACATACGATATCAACGGTTCATTCACAACCCTCAGTCTCACAGCCAATCTTTTGAAAACACCTCAAGTTTAGAAACGTACAGAGCGGTAGCAACTGTATAGCAAAGCCATAGGTCTGCATTTACCCTTTTCATGACGGAATTTGTTTCTAGAATGGCATGGCATTCGCTATTCTCAGGGTAAAACACGACGTTTTCTCACAGAAACCATTGCACAATGGGCTTGGGACAGGATTTGCGCTGTCAAAGTTTTTGTATTTGTTGTTTTTTTGTTGTTAAGAAATCGATCCTTGCCGGGGGTGGGGTTGGTGGTGAGTTATGGGCAGAGGCTTAACCAAATCACGGCTCTGGATAGGGGTTGTCCACAAAGGACGCCCGCACAACAAACTTACCTTTTGCACCCCCCCCCCCCTTTCCGCCGGCATTTTTTAATAATGTGTAATGCCAATGTAAAACTAAATCAATGATATTTAATTATTGTTAAAAGACTTTTAAGACTTTTTTATCATCATACTGTTGTTTTGGCTTGACACACGTTTGGTATCACAATGAAAATGCCTCGGACAACTTTAACTTCACGACTTCATGATCAATATATGAGTATGTGATCCTCTTCCCGTAGTGTATTTGTGGCATAATTATATCTTGGTGCTAACAAAATAGATTCACTGGCTTCCCATTCATTTTTACACCACACCCCGAGGGATCACATACAATGTTATAATTATAATGCCCCCCCCCCCC